CCTTTTTCTTTTAAGATCATAATACATTTGTGTATAATCAATTTAATTATCTTTAATTGGTTAATTTCTACAGAGCAGTAGGTAAAACATGCCTCCTCATAAGCTACACTACCAATGCTTTTCCTGGGGAATATATCCCAACTGTATTTGACAATTATTCTGCAAATGTTATGGTGGATGGTAAACCAATAAATCTTGGTTTATGGGATACTGCGGGTCAAGAAGATTATGACAGATTAAGACCACTATCTTACCCTCAGACAGATGTATTTCTGATCTGCTTTTCTCTTGTTAACCCGGCCAGCTTTGAAAATGTCCGTGCTAAATGGTATCCAGAGGTGCGTCATCATTGTCCAGCTACTCCGATTATTTTAGTAGGGACTAAATTAGATTTGCGTGAAGACAAGGAAACAATTGAACGATTAAAAGATAAAAAACTGGCACCTATTACATATCCTCAGGCATGTATTTGTTTAATTTATTAATTATACACTTATCTGTACACTATATTACATAATATACTTTACACTGTATTAGTTTTACAAATTTTACATTAAATTATGTTTAGGGTTTGTCTATGGCAAAAGAGATTGGTGCTGTGAAATATCTAGAATGTTCAGCTCTAACTCAAAAAGGGTTAAAAACAGTATTTGATGAAGCAATTCGTGCAGTATTGTGTCCTGTTCTTCAAGTGAAACCAAAACGCAGATGTTTCCTTCTATAATATTAAATGTCCAACGACGGTGGAGCATGTGCAAATGTACTACCCCTCCTCCGATCGGACTTGATTGCAGCAGGACATCTAACTTTGATTAAAAACCCCATTGTACGGTCCATCTCTCTACAAGCATCTGCCATAAAAGCGCACAAATCAATTTGTATAATGCGTATGGAAAGATAAAAGAGAAAATATACGCAATTTAAGTGTTTTGGACATTAGCTGAATGTTCTAATGAGAGGAAGGAAGCCAAATGAAAGCTGAACTGATAATGTACAGTATATTAAAGTGTGTTATTAATATTAATTATTACATACGAATTATAAGAAATTAAACATTATGTATGTGCGTTTGTATACGCACTAGATACTAATCAATTTAATAGAAGAAGTAAACCATTTTTTGTAAATTTGCATTGTATATTTTAGATAAAAAATATTTAATCGTATTTTAAATTCTTTGGTATACAAAAAGACTAACATAACAAAAATATTTAGATAAAAGATACTTAATTTTGAAATTTGCTTTCACTACTCTAATTCTTGCGATATTTTTTATAACAATTACTCTTCTTACATTAGCTAATTTTTTTAAGTAATAATTTTAATTAAAACTAATTAACTATATATAAATCATATTACATTGTTCTTGTGTAGTAAATATACAATTGCAAATAACATAAAATGACTTTCACCTTTAACTAAATTGGTTGATATTACTATATACATACCACGGTATAAGATAAATGTATAAGTTTTAGAAATGAGCGATACAAGTGTGATTTCAATTCTCTGCCTCTACAGTGTTTTCATGTTGCTGCATTTTGCTGTAATTGATACGCACAACATGGTTAAAGAGATAAAATATCAGAGGTGGAGAAAATTAGTATGTGTGAGTGAATGTTTGAAAGAGTGCATACAAAAGCCAAGAGAGAAAGACAAAAGAAGGAATTATTCTATAGCAGATAATTGTACATAAATGGTAAAAGTTCAAACTGTATTCCTATCATGTGCAATCTATCCGGGGAACGGGGATTCAGTCCATAAAAAATATCATAGATACTGTAACTAAATATGCTTTATTAAATGGGTGTTTATTAAATTTTTCTATTTATTCATCATGCCGTTGTGTCAAAGAATGTACCAATTAATATGGATATTTGTTCAGGAGTATATTTTACATATTTAGCTGGATTCTTAGAAAATGATATTCCACGATATTTGTTGTGAAAATTAGTATAGAGAGGAACAATAGCTTGTTGAAGTTCTTTTCGTAATTCTTCTCGTAATCTAGCATCAGGTACTGAATAAGAACGTTGACATTTTGCAACTTCTTCTAGTTCCCTTGTGAATCCCAAAAATTTTTCTTTTAAAGTTTTTGCTCCTGGTTCTATGAAAATAATAAAAAATTAATTAATTAATTTTTTTTTTACATATTTTTCACTTAAATGTTATAATTCATTCACATATAACTGTCGTCATAGTTGTATTGAATAATTTCATGCATTTCGTTATATTATTACAGATATTTTTCTTTTAGTTAGAATTATTTGATACTATGTGCAAAATAAATAACATTGTAAAAATTTTTTATTTTATATTGCAAAATTTAAAAGAATTCCCAAACTACAAACCTGGTTCATCAAAAGGTTGTTCAAGATAAGTACGCGCTTTTGCGAAGGTAATGGAAACATAATTAGCTTTATCACGTAATAAAAGATCATGATATGCTTGTTCTGCACTAGGTTCTGCTAATAATAAGAGTTCCATTAAAGAACTACGACGTAAAGCATTTACAACATGATTATGATTATTTAAACGAAAAAGAGCTCGTAGTGCAATATCTGAATATGAAGTATCACTTTTACTTACAAGTACCAAATTTAATTGTGCTAATACTTTTTCTAAAATAAATAAAAATATTAATAAATTGTATAATTTTTTTACAGTGGATTTAACCCTTTGCATTTCAAGAGCATTTATGACAGCATCACAAAATTTTCTTGTAAAATTCAATATCTTAGTAGTTCAGAGTTTATTATTCTATTTTTAGATCTACTTGTCCTCCAAAACTTAAAAAGGAAATTTTTCAAATTACTTGAAGTTAACAATGTATTTATCGAAATCATAAAATACAAAGGGTTAAACAAAACGAAATAGTGATACTAACTAATATAAGTGCCTAGAACAATTTTGTACATGTTTTCTGTTTGTTTTATAGATGTGGTACCTTCCATATCAGCACTACGTCTTAAAACAGCTCCTGCTGTATCTGCATATTCTGCTAACTGCTCTAGAAAAACTAGAACATTACTTGTATTTTCTGCTACAGTACCATCTTTAGGTAAAATAGAATTAGATTCATTTCGAACACTTTCTGCAAAATCTTCCAATGCTTTCGCTCCCTATATTATTAAATTATACAGTGTATCATTTAAATAAAATTTGTATTTGAAAATTGTATTGTATTATAACATACAGTTATATTTAAAGTATTCAGCACAGAAGTGAATTTTGATCTAAGAGCATAATCGCAACCCTCAACAGTGCGCTCCAAATCTGGTTTTAATTCTCCAAGATGTTTCAAAATAGGAAAGATCACTAACACTGCTGAAAAATCACGCCGTACAATGCATCTTTTAGCACGAGTTGCTATACTTTCTCCATCATGAGCTACAAGATCCATAGCTTCACGTACAGTATCTTCTAATACTTGTGCTTGTAAAGTAGTAGGTAAAATTTTGGCAACCAATGATCGTTCTGCTTGCATAAGTTTATGAAGACCAACTGTTAATAATAAGTAGTTTTCCATTTCTTGTTCATCTGGTGCTGTATCCTCTACAGAATGTCCAGATAATTGAGGTGGTGGTTTCCTGGATGTAGTTAAAGACAACCCCAAACCGGTGGTTTGAGAAGCTTTTAACAGCATTCTGCTGGCTTTTTTCTCAAGAGCATGTTGTAATCTTCTAGAACCTCTTTTCCCACTAATTTCTTGGATTCCTAATGAGTGTCTATTAGCAAATTTTGTTTTCTGTAAAATTGTAGTAAACTATGTAGTAACTAATAAATATTTATAAAGAAAAAAAATCTTAACATAAAGTTCTTACTGGTAAAGGACTTCCTGCATGTGTACTACCACCACTAGCACTCCTTTGATGTTCTTTTAATAACTGTAAAGATCTTAAAACAATAGTAGAACGTACAGATGCATAAATTTTTACATGTTTACGATGTCCTCTCTCTTCCAGCCAAGCTGCAATTTTAAGTAAATCTCCTAGAATACTTTCTGGTAATTGACAAAGAGATTGTGGAGCATCCTCGCCACTAGTATCTTCATCTGAGCCAATTAAATCCAAAAGAACAATGGGAAGGATTGGTTTACTCTGTCTAGTTAAAATATCATGGAATTCTGCATATAAAGCATCTAAGCCAACAACAAATAAACTTGTTACATTTTCTAGCTCTACAGAGCTGGGATTATTTTTCTGAAAATAACGTTGAGCATTGTAAAGACGATTCATTCCTTCCAAAAATCTATCCAAGCCTCCAGATCCTGCTGGACCAGCTCGTACTGTTGCTTCCACTTCCTGACAAACTCCATAGTAACCAATTGCATGATCTAAAGCATTTAATGTCATTTCTATATCTGCAAAGAAAAAGAAATAAATAAAATAAAATTATGAAATGATAAACTAACATAATTTTGATGCAAAATAAAATAAGAATCTATTATTTAGAATTAATATATAAAAATGTGATATATACTTTGTTGCTGTGCTTGAAGATTTCCTGTTTCATTATAAACAGGAAGTATGGTACGTCGCAATGTAGCAAGACGTTGTTCTAAAGAAGACAAAATTCCCACAACATTATTCGTTAATTTCCTACTTCTTTCTTCTGCATCTTTCAGTGCTTCTAAAGAAGCAATCTCTGTTTCTAATTTACATTGTATTTCAAACCTTCGTTCAGAAGTATCTGCTTTTGCTGTATGCATCATTTTATCTAAAAATTATACAAAATATAATACATGTTACCAAAAAGTGTAAACTTTTAAAAAAATTAATATTATATTATTCCATACTTCTTATATATTTTAGAAATGAAAATACAATACAATGTTACTGTCAGAAATTGCATGTAATAGTTTATAAATATCACTGCATACTTTATTATTTTTATATACTTTGCTTTATTTACTTCATTTACTTTAGTTATACCATTACTTTTTATTTTTATAGCTGATTCATTTACTAAGTCTTACGATAATTGCAAATTAAAAATTATTTTATGTATTCACGAAGGATACAAAAAACTATAAGATCATAATCTAACTGTTGACATAGAAATGCCCTGCTCAAATGACAACTTTTGTTACTATAATTTTACAACCACAAAAAATATGGCTACAATATAATAAGATGAATTTTTTGTTTTAATTCATCTTATATATGACAACTAATA